CCGTTCTCATTACATATAAACCCCTTTTCCGCAGAGCCGCCACCACCACCAACGCGCCCTGACAGCTTGAGCCTGTCTGCCAGCAAACACGATGACGATCTACCCTGATCTACCCGCTCGAACTTACTCTTTATCTTCTTAGTTTCGCACCTATCGCATGGATATATGGATGTATGGATGTATGGATGTGTGGATGTGTAGATGCATGCATATATGTATTTCTGAGTCATCACATATCAGGACAGGGTTCTAAGTAGACGACTTATCTTCACCAACCCTACACGCCTGCTTGCCTACTTGCCTGCTTGCCCGCTTGCACTTATGAGAATGGCCGAACGGATTCATCGATACGTGTTGGATCAAACGGTTAGCTGGTACGGTATAAGTGGTGAGGGCGTAACAACGACTGCGACGGCAATAAATATTCTGTGATATAATAAGGTAGCATTAAACCGGGCAGTTAAATGCGAAATATTTCAATTAACCAGATATTGCGTTGGTGGTAAGATGCTTACCGGTAGAATCAGTAAAATGCGATGGTAAGAGACTCCGATGGTAATAGGAGAATACGGTAGTTCTAAAAACCACAAGGCCGCAAGACCATAAGGCCTTATAGGGATCCATTCTCAGTTGGTTATTATATGTAAAAGACCGTGGAGCTGCTTATTCCATAGCCCATCTAAGCAATCCGGACACTTGAATCTGACATTTTAGTTGGAGATACTCATTCTAGACTACCTCTTTGCTTTTGTATATTCCTCGTGGTATTGACTACGACATGGTTAACTACGCAGGTGACTCTAAGAGTAAAGAATAACATATCAAAATAGCATATATCTCGACTCCTTTGCTAAAGTACCTTACCCATGTCTACCTACCTACCTAGGTATGTAAACGGATTACTGATCGAGTCAGGATCCGAAATCAGGCCATTGCGTTTCTAGAATGTAGCATTTGTTTCTGTATAGATTTGACCTCTAATATCTTTGGGGAGCATCTTTACTGCATTAAGTACCTGAGGCCACCTGGGTATGATGTATTAATCAGTCGATTTCTTACCTCTCCATCTGTAAGTAAGGGTCACAGCATCGACGCCTTGCATCCCCGGACTGTCTTACCAAATCAACACTGCATGGCCCTTCTCTACCATAAGTAATCTATCCATCAACCACACCCCGTAAACAAAATTTCACTCGCGGTCGAATCGAATAAGGCCTTAGATTGGTATAATGGTAGTAACCGGCAATCATGATGATCTCATCTTACTCGCCGGAAGATCACAAGCAAATTCGATAGTTAACCAAAGATTTTAATTCGTTCGTATTTACGAGAATATTCCCTAAAAGGTACCTAGGTAACTCACAAAAAGCCAGCAGGAAAAAAAGAACCATCTGTCCCGTCTACCGAATTTTCGCCCAACATGCCGAGTGGTGAATAGATGCACTGCCGAACGAAAGGAAGACAAGATCTGCAATGTTGAACTGCTGTTGTTGAAACCAAATGATGCAAATGAAGCCATCACCATGACCCGAAGGGATCCCTCCCCCTCTATTTATTTTGTACGGAAGCCATCCGAAAACTCCCCAATGCTACCCAGCTTGTATTCGTGCTATCCTATACGTACACTAGCCGCCCATGCCGCCCTCGCCGCCCTCGTGTTGCTTGCTGCAGCGCAAGGAGGAAACGGCATAAGGTACTGCGCCTTTACCTAAATCTATCCTTCATACTGAAGGGACGTGCCGCCTCGTCACGACTGCACCGTCTAGGATGCATCTCGACGTCATCGCCTCTCCTCCCACGGAAGAGAATATGTTCCTACCCAGTCGGAGACCTCTGCGCGCAGCTGCACGATTTCGGAGTCTTCTTCGCCGGCGCCGAGGTAGTCAAAGAAGAATTTAAGCTTGTATTTCTCGCCCTTCTCCTCAGCTGCGGTGCGCGCTGCCTTGTCTACCCTAACGGCAATGGCTACGGAGCGGTCGATAATGTCGGCCACTCTGACAAAGTCGCTCTCAACAAAGCCGCGCGTCGTCATTGCCGGCGTACCTATTCGCAGACCGCCGGGTATCATTGCCGACTTATCGCCGGGGACCGTGTTCTTGTTGCTGGCTACACCGACCAGCTCTAGCACTCGCTCGACGCGGGCACCGTCGACGCCCTGTGGCTTCAGGTCCACAAGTACAAGGTGGTTGTCCGTGCCGCCGCTTACAAGCTTGTATCCGAGACCGCCGTTGGACTTGGATTCGCCTAGGCGATTCGCGAGAGCCTGCGAATTCACTAGGACCTGCTCTTGATAAGCTCGGAACTCGGGTGTCTGCGCCTGTTTCAACGCAACGGACAACGCCGTGATGGTGTGGTTATGAGGGCCGCCTTGGTGACCGGGAAATACTGAAGCGTTTATAGGGTTCTCGAGGTTGTACTTTATCTCCTCCTTGGTCTTGGGATTAACCTTTCTCACGCCTCTCCTGAAGAAGATCATGGCACCTCGGGGACCGCGTAAGCTCTTGTGACTCGTAGTCGTTACGATATCTGAAAAGCTAAAGGGGCTAGGAATAACCTTGGCTGCAACCATACCCGAGATGTGGGCGATGTCGGCTAGCAAGTATGCATTTACCTTATCGCACGTCTCCTTAATGGCCTTGTAGTCGATAAACCTGCCGTAGGCGCTGGCTCCGGCAACAATAATCTTAGGTCGGTAAACTTGAGCTAACTCGTCGAGCTTCTCGTAGTCGATCAAGCCGGTCTCTTCGTTCAACCGGTAAGGGACCGTCTCGAAGTACTTGGACACGGCTGAGATCTTCTTGGTGGGTGTTTGGTAACCGTGAGAGAGGTGACCTCCGTGAGGAAGATCTAATCCCATAAGCCGGTCGTGAGTGTCCATCAAGGCCGAGTAGACGTATAGATTTGCGGGTGCGCCAGAGAGTGCTATTCATCGAGGCGAGTTACTACGGGTTAGCTCTGGTGACTCTTGCCAGGAGACTGGTTGAAGTAGACTTACGCTGAACATTGACGCCCCATTCCTTTTCATCCAAGCCAAACGTCTCCAAAGCTCTTTGCTGGCATAGTCTTTCGGACTGGTCGATGAACTCGTTGCCTGCATAATATCTCGCTCCAGGATACCCCTCCGAGTACTTGTCTATGGGTTTAGGTTAGCTCGGGTTTATTGGAACATTGTCGTGATGCTTCTTACTTTGCATTACACTTCCTAGCGCTTCGAGAACGGCTTGCGAAGTGAAATTTTCGGAGGGGATTAGGTTGATGAAGTGCTTTTGCCTATCTTTTTCCTGTTGATGTGATTTGTTCCTTAGTATTTAATATAATACACGTATAATAATAATAATAATAACAATAATACACATATAATGACAGGATAGAGGATAGTTTACCTTCTCGATGATATCGAACACGGCCGGGTCAGCCTCTTGAAGATGGGCCGATAGCAACTGTGTAAAATGAATTAGTATCGCCTTCTAATACAAGCGGGTGACGATAAAGCAATCAATTCGCAACCGCATAGAGGCTATTGCATACTCGTTGCTGGACGTCTAATGTAGCAGACGATTGAGCTCTTCTTGTCGCATACTGATGCGTAATTGGCGTTGACAATCTCGACAACGAACGAAGAGCAATCGAAGTGCCTCGAACCCGGAGGGCGGGTAGAGACATGATGAATTGTCGTCAATTGACTTGTGTTGTGTTGATGTGTCGATGTGTCAAATGTGTCAATGTAAATTAGAATGGTCTGCACTTTTAAAATATTATGAACAAAGTTTCTATACCGTCGTAATGGGAATAAAGAAAAGGATTTGCTAAATGGCTCCGGGCAGATAGGAAATAATCATCCTATCGTGAATTCGCCATTCAGAAGCTTCAGTCTATCCATTGTACTTAAAAAGACTAACCAAACTTGAATGTTGGACCGCTAACCGGCAAACCACTAGGTTAGGTTACCTACCAGATAACAAACACTACCTACCTATCTACTCCGAGAGGCGGGGTCTTACTTATTAGCGCGGGGAACTCTGATTATTATGTAATTGCACACCTTGATCTTAATATAGTATAGTCCTACACGTGATCATGCAGCTTTACTACCATGTATGAATTTCGACCCTCCAAATTTTTCTTTCTTCTTTTTTCCCTTTTTTCTGTATCAACTAAATTGGGCGTGACGAGCTCCGCTTCAATAACAGATTCGGATTTCCGCTGTTTGTTCTTACGAACATTCGGCGGGAGCATGCTGATATGTCTCGGGCGGCACCTCACCACCTTTAACGGGACAATTTGAAGACATCTGATCCAACATAGTTGATCTTGTTTACTTGGCTATCCGCTTTTTTCGATTTTTTCGATTTTTTCGATTTTTTGTCAGGTAGTTCCTTGTTGTTTTCTTAGCTTTCTAGTTTAAGCGTCTAGATAGTAAATAAGATCCTTAGCTTTTACTACCTATTAACAATGCTAAAATATACCAAGTAGTAGTAAATGGCCTGGCCATCTTAGCAACTTACACGTTTGCAGGATGCCATTTATACATAAGACGGACATACTCTATTGACCGCTACCATGAGACTGACGTGCTCATGCAGGTTGCATGTTACAAAACTCGGATGGCTGCAGATTTATTAGGGCTGAATCTTGATAACTACTTGCTAATAGTTCTGGCTGCCGTTTAATATGAATTAATGCGTCGAATGCAGAGTAGAGGCTGGGGGGCTCGGGCAAGATAACTGAGCACCTAAGATACTCTTCACGGTATAAGTCACATTACGACGGGAAGTTAGACTAGAAATAAGGTGTCAAGATCATTGATTCCGTTTTCATTGCCATACATGCAAAAGCCCGGCGGTGGAAGCATTACGACCGAAGGGCGCAAGGAAATAGAGACCCAACCATTTACTCCGAATGCAGCCGTCTCAGATTCTTGTAGTCCATATGACGATACCTCTGGCTCTCTTATGTAGCTGGATCGTTTGCATATGGAAACGCATCCCCTGCTTTTCCGCTTACGCCTCCTCCTCACCCGCCAGCGCGTTTCGCTTCGCCGCCTGTCTCTCCAACTTACGCTCACGAGCAGCCTTGTTCTTCTGTCTCTTGGCGTCCATCTCGTCCTGGAGCGCACGCTCGCGAGCCTTCTCGGCCTTGGCACGGTGGATCTGCATACAAATTAGACACGAATGCTCATAACCGATTTTGTATTAAAGAAAAAGAGTTTACGGGGGAACACGTACGTGTTCAACCAGCGCTCGCTTGTGCTTGAAGGCGTTACCCTTGCTGGAGTGGTACAGCTCGTGGTAGAGGTGCTTGTCGATCTTGCCGCTGGCACGGTACTTGACTAGAAGACGTCGGAGGACTCGTAGGCGTCGCATCCATAGAACTTGTCTATCGCACAGTTAGCCGCTATTCCGTCGCCATCCGGCCACTCGTCTATCCCTTGTCTAGCGGGTGGAAAAATTATGTTTAAACGTACTGAGGCATGCGAGCATCGGCGGTACCCTTTCGCTTACCGAAACCTCGGTGTCGGCCATCTCGTCGGGCGAGGTTCAGCTCACGGGCGCGAGATCGGGAGTGCATGGTGACGGGCTTGCGGATGATGAGGCCATCGCTGACGAGTTTTCGGATGGTCTGGCGGGAGTTGGCGTTGGAGATCTCGTTAACCTCGTTGGGGTCGAGCCAGATCTTGCGCTTACCGCATCCGATGACGGACGCCGCAAGGCGCTTCTGAGTGCGAAGGTTGACCCTGTATAGTACATCAATTAGCCTGATGTTTGTTGACGATTGCGTGATGATGCGTTCGTAGGTGGTAGGTGGCAGGTGGCAGGTGGCAGGTGGTAGGTTGTGTGTAAGTGTATGGCCATAATTGATGACGCTGCCGCCGAGAGAGAGCCGCGCAAACTCGATCAACAAACGAAATCGAATGGTGTATCGAAAATAGAAGAAGAGACTCCTCGAAAAGGATCCTCCATCAATGCGGAATGATTGGTAAATCGATTTGACTTACATCTTTGAATACGGACGTCGGTGATGGTCGAAAATTTGCTGTTCGGTTAGTAAGGTGTGGAAGGGTTGAAGTTGAATTGAGAGCCCCCTCTCGGATCTTTGCACAATCGAGAATTTCTGAATCAGAATAGGCTCCAAGGAAATTTTGTGGACTGTAAAGACCCAATTTGGTGTAAGCGAGAGGGCAACAGGATCACCTGACCTTATCGGTTATCTTTACGGATTAATGGTCTGTGCTTTTGCATTTTTTGCACAGTATCGTACTAACCATTATTACAGACGCGTTATTGGATTTGCGAAATTGCTTAAAATCGATGTCAGGCTTACCTAAGGTACATCAGTACCCCTTATCTATTCCTTTTCCCTCCAAGTCTACCTAATAGATTCATGCAGTCATAAGTCCAAGTACGCAACAACTTGGCCATTTGGAATTTATAGATGGTAATCACTTCGAATCCTTAATCGACTTACAACGTACCTGTTGATGAGCTACTTCGGTACTTACATGAAGATGCAAAGTTGATCAATGGTGCTTTAAATGTAACTTGGAATTTTCTCTACCCTATGTGAACTAACCCTCCATGATGCTTCCCATATCGCTTCCTATGTTCATGATTAGGTACTCACCGCGCTGCCCTTCACATCAACCATACATGCACGAGTCAAGCTTAATCTTGTGAGAAGACACCACCTCCAATCTCCACGGCACCAACGCTCCATATCTCCTTTTCGTCTTCTGCTTCGTCATTGCTCAACCCTAATCCTCCTTGGCCACCCTCTGCCTCTCTTCTTTCTCGGGCCTGGCTACCGAGCCTGACAGCCACCCTCTTGAAATAATCTTGTATGCTCCTCTTGGTGTTTGCCGGCAGATCTGCGCCGGCGCCGCTCATGTACTTTTCAAAAACCTTGCCTTCTTCATCCACGACGCTAAATAGTTCAATAAATGCTGCCTCGGCTGCTAGCTTAACGGGGATCACCGGATCCCTCACTGACGCGAATACGGGTGGCGCTAGTAGTGGAAGATGAGGACGGACTATATCTAAATTGGCTCGCGAAACGGTGCGTACTATTACCAACGCGAGACGACGGGAGTCGGACGGGTTTCCGGGGCCGATGATGGTGGCTAGCGTCGAGAAGATCGGTTTTGTCAATTCAAAAGACTTTGGAGAGTCCGTCAGCAAATATTTGCCCGTTGCTAGAATGCTGTTATCTGCTACGAATAGCTGTATGTGACAAGTTAGCGAGGCTCGTACCTAGAGCAAGACTTCGTCGGCAGGGGCTAACTCACGTTCTTGTTGGACATTCCCTGGCAGAGCAGATCGGGCAGGTCCTCTGCTAGCGGACTCTCTAACAACGCCTGCGGCGACTCTACGAAGACTGCGTTGAGCGCGAGAACCGACGCGCTGGTAAAATGGCCTGTCGTCACACGGTTCTTTAACAAACCGTGCGCGATCTCGGGAGGCACATTCTTAATGAGCGCGCCGAGTAGCTTAGCATTGGTCACTATCATCGCCGAGTCGGTCGTGTCTGTGTCCATATCGATCAATCCTAGCACCGCTGTCCGCGAGCTCTCGCCCATGTTAGAACCTGCTTTGCTAACAACCTCGTATAGAGCCTTTAGCATGGCAGTCCTGACGCCTGGATCCGATGTCTTAGAACCGGTGACGAGCTCCGCGATCAATGGATCCACCCGCGGTGTAAACTTGATTAGAGTGCCCAATGCTTTAGCAGCCCGCGACCGTAGTAATTCGCTACCGGTATCCGCGAGCGCTCTCGCGAACGTCCGCTGGAGCTGGGGCAGGAAGGGCTTGAGCGCCGCCGGCATCTTCTCGAGTAGGTTGTTGAGCGTTAAAAGAATGGCCGCTTTAACATCGGTAGATCGTTCCGACACCACACGGATGAGGGGGCCCGTTATCTGCGTGACAAACGGCTTAAGAGAAGCTTCGCTTGTCCTATCGACAATATCGGATATAGCGAGCGCAGCGCTAGTTCTCTGTTCCGCAGTCCCGTTCATGAGACCTTGGAGGAAGATAGGCAGGATAGCGTTGATGCCCTTTGGAAGCTCGAAGCCTGGTAGGTCAGAGCCGGCGACACCAACCTGCAATAATGTTTGCCTTGTCGATATCACAAGAGCCTCCATATCTTCTTTTTTAAGCTTCTTGGTGAACTCGCTGAGCGCTGCCCACGCTGCCTTGACGACCTCTGCATCACGATCGCCGAACGAGATCAAGAGGGCACGAATGATATCTTGGTTATACCGCGAGTAGTCCACGCTAGAGCTAGTGAAGAATTTGGCAAGTCGTGACGCTGTTACAGCTCGCTTGTGGTGATCATCATTCTTAACTAGCTGCAGTAAGACGTTCATGACCGTATTGAGCCCGTCGTGGTCGTCTATCGACTGTATAACCGTATCGAACGAGTCCTCAAGGTCGGCACGGAGCTCGTCGTCCTTGGCATTCACAATATTGTCCATGAGAGAATTGATAATGCTCGGTAGGCGCCGGTTCATAGCAGGGCCCGCCACCCGAGACAGGGACGCGAGCGCCTTGGCATTGAAAGTGGAGATGGGGGGAGTGAGTAGTGTCGGGATAAGGTTCGGCAAGATGATGTTAGACCTGGTAGTCTCGGTGAGGAGGGTCAGGAGAGCAGACAGGGCATTGTCTGCCTCGTCTTCGGAGCGTAGCAGGTTAAGGAGGTGCGGAAGCACTTGGTCGACGGCTCGTTTGCCGATGATCTGCTGCAGCGAGTCGAACGCCTCGGCAGCGGCTTCTCTGACATCCTCGTCGGAGTCTATGAGAGCCGTCCGCACGACGGATATTAATGTCTTCTCGTGGTCCTCGAGGGCCTCGTCCGAAGCGGACGCGATAAGTTCCTTGAGCGCGAGACAGATTCCTTGCCTGGCGTTCGTATCTATCGAAGTCTGGAGGCCTTCTTCGAGCGTTGGAAGCAGGCTTGACAGGACGCCGTCGCCAGCCTTCCGGATTAATTCTCCCAAGGCGTTGCTGGCGATCACCTTGTGTTCCATGTTAGAACTGCCAAGGCGGCGAATGATTAGTTGCGTGAGAGTAGGCGTAAGCTCCTTCAGAGTTTTCGGCGTAGCGACTAAAGCCTTCCACACGCTCACGGCAGCGGCTCGAACGGCGCTGGAAGTATCGCATCGACATATATACAAAGCAGAAAGGATCTTGTTGCGCTTCTCTTCTCCGAGTACCTCGCGTAGAGACGCGCCCGCCTCCTTTGCGCTCTCTTCCTCATCCTCCGCGTCGGCCTTTCCGCTAATGCCAGTCAGGTTAAATAGTAGGTCGCCGACTAGCTCGACGGAGCTCAGCCGGATCCTGTAGCTGTCATCTGCTAGGCCACGCTCTAACTCGGGTAGTAGGAGATCGACGGCCCTCGCGGCAAAGTTCTTGACCAACAGCCGACCGGCTCGGAGGGCGGTCTCGCGGATCGATTCGATATCGTCAGCGAGGCCAGCAAGAATAGGGGGAATGATCTTGCTGAGGTAGTTGGCAAAGCTGTTTCCGAAGCAGACTGGCAAGAATATGAATAGGGACATGAAACCTTCCCTGACGGCAGGTTTGGATGACTCCACGTTCTGCAATATCGTAGGGAGCGTTTCCTCCAACCTCGTAGTGCCAAGCCCCGCCAAGACTTCGCTGAGAGCTTGAGCGGAACCGAGACGGTCTCCGGCGCCCGTGTCCGACTTGAGGGTCTGCATGAGTCCGGGAATTAGATCCGGTAAGGCGTCCTCGCCGAGCTTCTCTACCAGCGAGCCCAGCGCGCGGGAAGCGGTCGCTCGCGTCGTCGGGACCGGATCGACGGCTGCCACTTTCAGCCCGGACACGAGGACCGGCAAATGTGCGATCAAATCCTTCCTCTCGGTTAGATGAGCCAAGCTTCCGATGACTTGGGAAGCCTTGCGTTTTGTATTGGACCTGTCTCCCAAACCTCGCTGGAGAATTCTGGTAACAAGAGCCAGCGAAGGCGCGTCGAGGTAGTGGACGAATTGCACCTTGATAAGCGCGTCTAGAGCGTCGTCGGTGTACTTGGTGGGATCGCTCAGAGCCTTGAGCAGAATGTCGACTAAGCTCTTCACTTCGGGATTCTCGATAACCTCGCCGAAACGCTTCAAGCTCTTGTTGGCCGCCGTTCGCACTTCTTTGTGACTGTCGTTCAGCACACCTGTAAGCGGCGGTATGATATCGGGAAGGCTCTGCGCAAGTTGCTGGGGATCTAAGTACGCCATAGCACCCAGAAGATCGCATGCGCCACGTTTGCTACGCCATTGATCGTCATCGAGACCGTTAAGAAGAGTCGGCAGAATCTGCTTGACACCGTACGAGCTAAGCTTCGCAAAGCAAGCCTTAGCTGCTGCCAGACATGCGTCTCTCACGTCTGCGTTGGTATCGCCGAAGCCAGACAGGAGTTGGGGCACGATCTGGATGACGTACGGCTCGAACAGGCGACCAAGAAGTATCGCAAAAAGTTCGAACGCGAGAAACGCACCCTCACGCTGCTGAGGTTCCTTCCGGTTTTCGGTTGCGCTCTTTAGCGTAACGAGGATGCGATAATCTCGCAGCACGGAGATGCCTCTCCCCTGAACCAAGCCAGCTAACCCGTATGCGGCACCTCGTTTTTCGGCATACTTCTTGGATGTCAGGAGCGTATCGAGGAGCTGTTCAAAATATTTGGAGGTTTTGTCGCCGCAGGTCCGTACCAGAGGCGGTAGGCATTCCGCCACTGCGTATTGCACGGCTTCGGACGGCGTGCTCAAGGTAGTAAGTAGCCTCTCCAGAACAACCGGGATCTTTGCGTCTCCGGGCTTCAAGTGCCTAGCAAGAGCGCCGTACATAACGATGATGGCCTCGTTGACACGATCCGCCGCGTCCGAGCCCTTGTCTGGCGCAGCGAGTGTGCGCTCGAACGTCTTCATAAGCTTATCCAGGAGCGCTCTGCCGTGGAGGTCGATAGCCACAAGCGCCGCATCAAGCATCTCACCGCGTACAGCCGCGTTCTTGTCGCCCAAAGGACCACCTTCGATGAGGAAGTTAAAGAAGTCGTCGATCTGCGATTTCTGTAGATGGGCGGCAAGTTCTCTGAATGCCGCCGCAAACCCGTGTCGCGCTTCCCAGGGATCTGATAAATCTGTCTTCTTAGGCATTCCGTATTCGTCTAGCTGGGCAACCCGGGGCTTAGCAAATTCGACATATGAAGACCGGAGCCTTGCCAGCACGTCATCGACGGTTGAAGGGTACGATTTGCATGCCTCAG